TTGCACATAAGCAATTGGTATGCAGGCATGATCGGACATGAGCTGCAGAAAATAAAGGGATGAACGAGGAAGGCTGGGTCAAGGTCAAACTTCCTTCAAAATCCAAGAAAAATCTCTTCGTGCCAATTTTTTGAACACATGCTTCATGAAAATACAAAAATGAAACAAGTGAAGAATATCCCCATTTATAAGAACATAAATCATCTCTATCTAAAATAATAGTTACACCTATTATATTATACACCAATACTATAAAAAAAATTTTGACTTATGCACAAATATACACTTCAGAGTAAAACCAAGAATACCAGATTAATTCACCAGGAATCACAGTACACTGCTCTCAAAGTTACTCTCATCCCAGCTCAAAAGGTGCTCACCTAAAGCATAGAAAAAATCCATCTAGTTAGACAATGACTCCACATATTCAATTGGTTAAATTTGTGAAGTATTCGCCAAAGCAATGGTCCATGTCTACTTCCTAAAATTCTGATAGCTAAATCCACATGTTTATAACAGTCATATACCAGCCAGCATATTTTTTGGAAACGAGGTCATCCTTAGTATCAGGTCGTGGTTCAAGCCAAGGAAAGGATCTCTTCTACCCCTGTCCTATATATTGTGTTCTTCATTCCCTATTTGTGCCCTTTATGTATTTATTTATTTATTTATATTATTACATTGAAGTATTGTTTCTCTTGTAGCGCTAAAAAAAATCATACAAATATCAGTCAAAGGGTCATTATTTATAAAGGGCGCAGATAGAGGTGTCAAAAATTGACCTGACACGTCAACTCGACTTAAACCCAACTTGAAAAATCTTCAGTTCAAGTTGATCCAATAAATTTTCAAATCAAGCTCAAGTCTAAAACCCAACACATTTAATTTTTTTGATATGAGGTTCTAGATTACCCGCCAACCCAAAATTAACACAAAACTGACCAATCAACTAAAAATTGACCTGAATATGACTCGACAACTCGAATTTGATCCAAAATTGACTCTAAATTAACTAGAATATGACCCAAATAACTATTATGCATCTATTAAATAAGTTATGCGGGTCAGCTCGAGTAAGTCGGTTTGAAGTGAGTCGGGTTTGAATTAGACTTCCCGACCCATTTAATATTTGGGTCGAAACCATTTCAGGTCAAACACTAACCTGACCCATGAACTTGAATTGACACCCCTAGACATAAGATAACATTGTTAGCTTCTAGCATGAAAATAAAATCCTTCGAAATTTCTTTCCTTCTTCCATTTCTTCTTTCTCTTTACTCGAGGCTTTTCTAAGGTCCTTTGAGTCTCATAAGTAAGATTCAAGTACTTATATGAACAGATGCGGAACTAAGATCCTTTCAAGCTGATAAACGCAAACTGATCACAAGAACTAGAAACCAAGCACTAAGAGAATAAGAGCAACTTAACAAAGAAAAATCCCTGAACGTGAAAAATTAAGAGTTTTTTTGCGAATGAATGGATTACAGAGATAAAAGAAAGAAACACGAGAATGATACATGGAACTTCAGAGCGGGTTCCTAGAGCATTCCCTAGGGTAAAGACACCAAAAGGCTCTTTGAATTCAATTATACAAGGGCATCTCTCAAGAGCTAAAGCACAAACCTTTACATCTGGTTTGGACAAGACTTACTACCCCGACAATAATGAGGAGTTCATTCCCCACCAAGGCGAGTCAAAAGGTAGAGGCCCAAGTTGACAAATGTATCTTACAAGAAGATAGCAAAAGCCAAACCCCAGTGAAGTTTAAGATACCACATAAAGATTCATACAAAGGAAAAATGAGCATAAACAAGCAAGTGGACTACTTTGAGTCGAACATCTTGTTATTTGATATCAACAGTGTTTTTTCACCAACTTTAACAAATACCTCTTTTGTGATTATCACATCTCCTGCTAGCATCCATCGCTTTTTGGCTAATTTCAAGAGGATATATGTGCTCAAGACTATTAGTGCCCAAAAGCCACTAATGAACGAACAATCTCTTCTAAAAATAAGACAAGAGTTGGTGGAGTCAGTCCTTCAAGAACTTGATTGTGGGGTTTTGAAGAGAGATGTTGCAAGTCAATAATTTAAAACTTTTAGTGTCCCAAGTCAACTCATGCAAGCCTTGTGAGATGGAACATTCAAGAATGTCCTCAACCTGCAACACCCATATAAGTTGGTAGAGTTATTGGAACTTGTCAACACTCATATTGGCAATGACTAATACAGCAAAGCAGCAGGTGCTCTGCCACAAGTTACCTATGTGCTAGGAGACACTGCAACAAGGCGGACCTTCCAACAAGGTCTAGGCGACAATAAAATTTGATCCAAAAATTAAAAAATAGAAAGGACACATTTTCATAACCACACATACTGCCAGTGAAGGACTTGAACACTTGAGCAGACACTAAAGATAGTCATCCATAACAAAGAAACACAAATCTCTGTCAGGCTATGCCACAATGAGAGAGCATTTGACGGGACGAGCAAAAGTCTATCCAAAGGGACGAGCGGAAGACTCTCCTCCATCAACACCCGATGATTACCCCACGATAAGTGGGGTACTTGAGCTAGACCATATGATAAATATATATTCGAGAATTCAACACCCATACCATAAGAGTGGGAGCATATCTTGGAGAAACTGCAAAATATTGTGTGTTTCATAGAGATCACATGCATGACACAAAATTGTCGACATTTGAGAGACTGGTCAAATAAAAAAATCAAGTGGATTAATTGTGACGGAACACAAAAAAAGGAGCAAGAAAGGTGCCCATGAAGAGGCAGTCAATAAGCCATTTTTGGCCCAAGCAATCCATCTGTTGGCGCGGTATCAACCATTCTTGGAAGAGCAATAGTAGAATAATCTCAATACAGCTATCTCAAACAAGTCTAATCGGGAGAAGTAAACGTGATTACAACCTTCATAACATCTTATTCTAAGGTCATGCCCATAACGGAGACTGGTAAATGGGAATGCCTTCAATGATGCCGTACTAGTCACGTCTTTATTGTCGGTTATCAGATAGAAGTATATTGATTGAGTAAAAGTTATGTTATCAACATTTTCAAATGAGTATTCTAAAAGATGAATCTGAAAGCTGCCAATTTGACTCCCACTACAGGTCCACTCCTCAAATTTTCTTGAGAAAAAAAAATATATACAAGGCATGGTCATTTTGGCCATCAGTTGGGGAGAAAAAGAATTTCAATACACAATTATAAACAACTTCGTCATGTAGGTGCGCACGCCACCTACAATATCATTTTTGGGGATTTTATCAGGCGGAAACGACCCCATTCGTATTTTTAGATGGTCGCGACCACTAGCATACAGAAAGATTATATCGGTGTCATTATTAAAATAGTAAATAAGATTATTACTTAAAATAAAAGACTACAATAAATTTACATGTTTTCATTTTATAAATCCATGAAAATAATAAAAAATTTACCAAATTCTAGTGTTCTTTTGACAAGCCACTCTTTAAAAATACAAAAGAAATTGGGAACTCAATATAAACTCAGATATATGATTCAAGGTAAATCGGAAAAAACTAGGTGAACTCAACAGAACCAGAGTACATGATTCTCAAAATCATTAGCCCAAGATCGAGTTCAATTGGTGCTCATCCTGAGCATAAGAAAAAAAATACTCATCTATTAAAAGGCAGCAACTACATTCATCCACTGGCAAAACTTTCATAGTACTCACTAAGGCTAGACTCCACATGTACTTCCTTGAATTTTGATTACCATGTTTACATGTTTAGAGCAATATTTATTTATTTATTTATTTATTTTACAGTACTAAATTACAGCTGCTTCTGTTGTGCCTAGAAATACTATAAAAAGAAGTCAATGAGCAGAAATAAGTTTGGACTTTTGGCATGGAGAAAAAGACTCTTCAAAAATTTCCTCTTTTGTTATTTCCCCCTTCTTCTTTCTCTTCGCTCAAGGCTCTAATGAGATCACATGGATCCTTTAAGCAAGGTTTGGGTATCACTACAGACAAATTTAGATCCAACATAACCAGACAACATATCCATCACACAGAAGCTACCAAACCCGATCTCTTACTCACAATATTTTATCAATGATGAGGCTTAGCCTAAGAAAATCTCTCTTGAACCGACATCCTTCCGAATAAAACCATGAACCGGCCATCAGTCAACAAGAAACCAGGATTACATAATAAAAAATAAAACAATACACTCCTTAAATTCACTCCGTGCCGCACCGATCCATCTCAGAAGCAAACAAAGCACAGGCACAACAAGCCCTATCTCTATCAATTAACGAATTCCAGCACCCCGGCCACCATCAAACCTTAATAACCCCGACAATTCTTTAAAAAATTACAAAATTTACGCACGCACATACAAAAAACACAATCGGAATATGAATTCGTGAAGTTACAGTTACCAAGAAGCGAATTGAAATGAATAGCTTGAGAACTCTGGATCGCAGAGGTAAGCCAACGTTTGAGATAAGGAACCGAAAGCCCGCGGTTATCCCCCCTTCAACTTCCTGCCTTAAGCCTCTCTTCTTATTCTTTCACTGGAACCAGCGATGGCACTGAGAGGGAGAGGGAGAGAGGAGGAGAGGGAGACGGGGCTAAATAGTTGGGACCAGAAGACCGGCGATCTACGATTCTTCCCCGACTCCTTCAGAGATGACGATGCATGTGGCTTTACGTGAGCCGTTAAATCTGATTTGATCTTCTACTTTCCGTTCGTCGGGCGGATCTGATCTAAACAAATTAAAAAAAAAAAAGTTTGTTTAAACATATAAATCTTCATGTATTTTTTTTATGTGATTCAGAATAAAAAATCTGATATAAATAAATTAATTCATAATTTTTTTTAATATTTTATATAATAAATGTATATACAAATGAAATGTGTGGTTTGTGTACAAATCTCAAAACAAAATTTGAATTATCTCGATGAAAATGATCAATTAATTATATTTATACGTATAAACGATGTGGTCGATGATCGAAATATTGTGATGACATAGGTCAGCGATTTGTCATTCGGTCTTTGATATAGTACATTATGGTTGTATTTGGGATAAAATGTTAACAAATACAGGTCACTGATGATGATGAGCAATGACAGTCAGCGGGGGTCGACGGTAGCAGACGGCAGTGGCAGGCACTGATGATGATGAGCAATGACAGTCAGCGGTGGTCGACGGTAGCAGACGGCAGTGGTCGGCGACTATGGAGGTCGGAAGTTATCGTCGGATCTTCAATACGACATTATACTTTGCAACCATTTTTTGGGATTCGATGTTAGCTGTCAAGGGTTATTTACGACGGCGAACAGGGGTGGTCAGTGGTGGTTAATGATGATTGGCAGTTGCAGAGATCATCGAGCCTTCGATCTATAACATTTTATGGAATTTCTTCTCTTATACCTCTTCCTTGAGTGAAGAGAGAGAGCATGTTTTTAAGTTATACGATAATGATAATTTAATCATTTGGTAAATAACTTTTTCAACCATATCCTTGATCATTGTGTTTTTTAATGAGTTTGTGGTCTTTAATGACCTCAAAATTCAATGATTTTATGTGTGTTAGATTCCCCTTGTCGAGACGCTAAATTTAAATATAAATAAGTCAATTTTGGAGTTCATTTGACCATTAAGCTATTGATTCTAATTCTCCAAAAGTGTTCTAATGGTTTAATACAGGCTTGATTGGTCTTAGATTGAATCAATTTCAGTCTCATCCGGTGTGTCTAATCGAGACAGTTAGTCTGATTATAAACTTGCTGAAATTGTCCCTTTACATCAATTTGAATTTGAATCTGAAACATTTCTTCATAAAAATATCTCGAGATTCGAGCTAGATGAAAAAATTTATTCATAACACATCATTATTCATAATTTTGGGGGTTGAGCTCGACTTAAATGTAAAATATCATGACTGAGACTAATTTTAATATATAAACGTTATTTTAAAATCCAAAAATTAATACATTCTGGCAAGCGTAAGAAAACTTAAGAGTTAACTTTTGCATGTATCTATGTATTAACTTCAATAAGGTAAATTTACAAAAACTCACTCACTTGCTTAACTTTAAAAGCTCGCTCACTTGCTTTGATAAGTGAGTTTTAAAATTCAAATTATCAAACTTCAAAATCTTCTAATCAGAATGCCGTCAATATGTCAGCCAACTAATCTGATCTTCTTCTACGCAACGGCTGGTGTCAACGATACTAGTAATTTTATTAACATCCAAATACAATTTACAAGTCCAAATCACTTTGTTCGATCCTCCTCTTCGCCAGAACTGGAGGCGACGGGACTAATATCATAAATATATCAGATTAAGAAATTCCAAATGAACTGCACAACATAAATGTTTTAAATGTTCAAATCTCTTATTATGATGAGGTTGATATAATATTTGAAATAGAGGCGTTTTTTCTTCAAAATTAAATTTTAAAGTATATTTGAATAAATTCAAATGATCTAAATTATAAACCTGATCATTTATAAGCAATATTTTGCTGAGCAGGTTCAATATGAATTAATGTGTCAATTCTGAACCCATCCTTTGTAAGCAGGGTAGATTTAACAATGCTCAAGCTCAATCATATGTTACTATTAGGCATGATTCTTCACAAGCAAGTTGTGAAATCATCAGGGTTCAAATGAATTAAGAGAAAAAATTCTCTAATGATTGGCGAGTTCATAAGTTTCAACAAATATCTAAATAAGTCCAACAACTTAAATTCATGACTATGGTCCTCTTTAAGCAAAAATAGAACTTGCAATGCTAAGATTCAATCATTTATTGATCTTCCGACTGATTCTTTACAAACAATATGTAAAGTTCATGGGGTTCAAATCAAACAATCAAATCGTCGATAATTGTTGTGCTGACTGGATTTTTTAACCGTAAATATCAACTTTTAGAATAATTTTCAATTTTAAGATTTTAAAACAACAAACCAAAACACTAAAATTAAAATCAATCAACAAAACAATTAGAACATTTAAGTTAAAATCAATAATTTAAGAACTAAAGCAAATCTCATCTACCATCCACAACAGTTTAATAGGGTGACAAACTTTTGTACAATTTTTAACTCGTAAAAAAATGAATGTCACACAGAGTGTTTTATTGTATTTACCCTCAAACTGATCTCATGATAGTAAATACATGATTCAAGTCCTCTATCCGCATGATTCGACCCAAATTGTAAAAAAAATAATTGTTACGTTGGATTTATATAACTGGGTGTATGCTACCAAATGACATCATTATAGTACAGTCATGATAGCAATCGTATGCTTTCTGGCGACTTTCTAACATTCGATTCATTGGTACATTTGATGTATAAAAAGGTTTATGTCGGCCAATGTTGACTTAGATTGCCCCATTAAATAAACTTACAACCCATATTGACGAGGGGTACTGGGACGATGTAGCATATGGTTGTTGATAATAATCATTCAGTCAGGTTAGGTCGACTGCCTCCTCTGACTAAGTAGATCAGGGATTACAACATCCCGAGATGATTAAACAATGAGATCCTGCTCGAGTTCATCATCATTTTCCTAACTATTCTCTTAAATCCCAAAATGATACAATTTTATAATCTAAATTTATATATGTGCTTTTACTATACGTTGAATATTCAATGTTTAATAACTAAGCTTAATTGAAAGTGCTTTCTTATTATTTAACCACAAAAACTGTGTCTATAGGAAATCTTGAACCCAAGATTAAAAAGTTATCGTTAAATAAGGGTGAAATCTATGGGCAATGTCATATCTGTGTTCCAACCTGTTTTGCAAAAAATTTAACCGGAAATACTAAATAAAAAGCTTTTAACATTCATGAGAGTAAGGGGTGTGAATTTTCAGAGCCCACAAGTACAAATGTCGAAATAAAGATTCCCAATAAAGGAAAAAAGAGCCCAATTATTTGTTATCCACTTGCTTCACACTTATTCAACTATGGAGGAAATCTCTAATGAAAATATTGATTAAATGATGATGTGACTAGGCAAACAACTAGACATGCTAAAAGTGAAAAGTTTGAGCATAATGATCCCATGTTCATGTCATGTAGAGAAATATTCCTATAGAAATAGAAGATTAATTTTAAGCAAATTTTGATTCTCATCTCATGAAATCTTGCTTATTTCCATGATAACAGAGCTCTCTTAGGTGTTGTTCAGTTGACTGAATTTGTGCCACATTGTAATTATTTTGCAGAGATTTAAGAAAATTATGTACTTGTTATGATGAATTACAATTATAATATAACTTATGAATTAATTTGAAATTTACACCATAGTTAATTTTGCCTGACTTTAGAATTCATATAATTTGGCTAAATTTGAATTACACCGTTCCTGTAGACTGGTTTCGGCAAGCAACTCCCGCCCGTCGCCGCCTGCTGCGTCTTCGATGCCTATTCGTTGCTCACATGTTGTCTGTTGCCACCGCCCTCCGTCGATCACATTGTTTTCAATCTATTTAATGCTAAACAATAAAAACATAATGTGTTACATATATTTTACAACGAACCAAACAACTCAAAAGTATTTCAAATACAATGTAATCATATCAATCTATAAATTATTTACATTGCATTTCATTTCAACAAATCAAATCACCCTTACACTTCCTTCTATATTTCTTTCATTTGTCTAGCTCTATTCCTCGATGTTATCATTTATTAACCAAATTATATTTAATTGCTTTATTATTAGCAAATGTTATACATGATATTTAATTAAATAACAATATTAGAAGATAATTGCAAAATAGACAAACTAAAATCAACCATCAATAAAATCAATTTATCGAGCAGGCAATGCAATCAAATGCTTATTTTTTTTTAAATATTAGAAAAATAATATAGGAAGG